TTTGGCTTAAAAATCACAATTTTCACGAAGACTCGAGGTAAATGTGGCAGAGGTGGTCGACAAAGTCTTCGGAAATCATCCCTACAGAGAGGTCGACTCATGACGGGCGAGTCTGTGGGAGAATCATTGAGAAACCTGGCCATTTAGTTCGTGGATTTAGGCCATTTAATAAAGGGAAATTAAAGTCATATTGGGGACTACAACCTGGTTTTTCTGGTGCTTTTTTTTTGGTATGAATTGTGGTCACTGTTAGTGTCACGAGGCAGAGCCAAAGATTTAGCCATTGAAAATGGTGGGATATGTAACCAACTTGGTCATACAAAAAACGAACTGGAAAATCACCATAGAAATAGTGGATTGACCCATTGAAAATGGTGATTTTAACCATAGTTATGTTAGAAAACCCATTGAAAATTGTGATTTTCCAGTTTGTTATGTTGGAAATGGTTGGTGATTTATAGATGATAATCTGGTTGGTGGTTTGGAACACGGCTGGATTATGACTTTCCATTATGGATAATCCTTCCCAACTGACGAACTCATATTTTTCAGAGGGGTAGGTATACCACCAATCACCAATCAAATATGATTATGGGATATTGTTTTTATATGGGATATATGACATATTATGGGATCATGTTCCAGATTACCATATTTTTTGATATGAATGATACCTGGTCGCCTCTTTTTTAGCCTCGTGTTGAATCCAGCATGGCAAGAATGGTGGTTTTGATGGGAAAATCCATTGAACTCAACGGTGAAACCACGAAGCAGCTTGGGTTCACCATTTTGCCCATTGCAGGTGGCAATTTCAGGGGAAATACCTTAAATTTTAAGATTTTTCGATGTGCGTATCCAAGTGAACATCAGCTTCCAGATCTGTGGTCTTGGGGTCCATGTTAAAATAGTGTTTGTATATGATATACACGTATTATGTATATATATATATATAATCTCTCCCCTTTTCATGGCTTCCTGCCCTCAGGTCTATGAGAACCTTTTGCTGCAGATGTTCGAAACCTTTGTGGCCAAGGACGATGTTGTCACGCAGCATTGAAGATATGTTCCAAGCAGCTTCCAAAATATGGTTTGAAGGGCCCACACTCGAAGATGTTGAAGTATGATTCAATCAGAATCCTGTGCTTTTGCTGGGTAAGTTTTGGCAAAGAGTCCCCCCCTCGGATGTCAAAGAGTTTCAAGGTGACTTTAAGTGACAGTTGGACAGTTGGCAGAAACTGTACTGATTGGGGTTCCTTGAAAGTACATGTTTTTAGATTTTGCTATGCACTTATGCAACCAGGGTGAAAGTTGTGTTGGGAGATGGGGTGGTATTTTTGGCATCTGACAAGCAAATTTCTTTGTCCGACCGATGTAAGTTATGCAAATTTGATTGTTTCGGTTGTTTCCTGAGTTTAGTAAAGTGTTTGGTGCCAAGTCATTCATTGTTCTCATGCGCTTCTATGCTGCATGGAATAGTTACCAAGACTTTTTGAACACATTCACCCATTCATGTGGATCGGACAAAATCCATTCCCTACATATTACCATAGAACCCTGGATTTAGAATCACATTTCATTAATTATCGGGGTCCCACATGAGGGTATATAGTCCTTGGGGGACAGAATCAACAATTTCAAGTGGCAAAATCGTTCAGAAACATCCTGCCGGGCTGCTGCCAGAAACTCTGTGGCGGCTTCAGCGGTTCCATGGTGATTCGCGTGCGAGTCCTAGAGATCTGAGGTGCTCAGTTCATTGCTGGCGCTCAACCGCAGATATGATGTGTGTTTTGTACATGATATAACTTCGATATAACCGACAATGATGGGAACATGGTGGAAGAGGCAACAACATGTGGAGACTTCAGCAGTCCTTCACTTGTGGCTTCAATTTGTTTTCAATCATATAACCATAAAAATATCCTCCAGCGATTTGAGATAAGATTTATCCTCTAGTGATTTAGCGCCATAGAAAATGAACCATTTCAGTTTCATGATTTACCTGGTAGAAATAGGACATAGAATTTGTTTTGTTTTTTCTTCCCCATAGCAAACTATTAAATTACCAGAGGTTAGTACGAACAAATGTGCCCTTTGGGTCACCAAACAGTTAAACATGTTCTGTTGTTTTTTTGTTGATATGATGAACCGTCTACACGTGGGCAATTTCCATTGTCATGCCAGATGGAGAGTGATGTGCGGGTGATAGTACAGGCCTGGATTCTAATGTGAAACCATTGTTTTTGGTATAAAGGATGTTTTTGTTCTGTAGAATGCAATAATACTAGAAATTAAAAATTGTTTCTACTGAGACTGATCCTATCATTTTTTGGCAGAACTCATTAAACTGATCCAATGATATGGGATCTTGCAGTTTTCCAAATGACTGATCATCTTGGTAACGATGACAATGAGATTTTTCAAGTGCGAGAAGTCTTGCGTAACCATGCCGCTGAATTGATTTCAAGGTGTGATAACCATGAGTAGTTTTCCCGTCTATTGCATATTTTTGCATGTGGCATTGAGTGACCGAAACAGATAACCCATGTCCCACCATGGGAAAGAAGGTGACAGGACCCCTGAGGTCCGCGTTGGAGCCCTGATGTTCATCAGTGCATCACGTTGCTTGCATGTTTCTCCTTCAAGTAGATTGGCTTATTCTACAACAAGAGACGTGAGGACAGAACTGAGCATAATCATCATAATCATCATAATCCCTTCCTCCTAATATGTTCAGCATGCAAAAGGAAACGGGCCCTGTTAAAATTTTGGGGCCCATATACGAGTGGTATTTAATAAATGGTAGTGTAACAATTACTCTTAATTTCAACATAATTATCAACCATTATCCATTATATATACCTTATCAATGTTGATGCTAATTGTGGTCATCAGATACATTTGATCATGGCTGGAAACAATGTCAACATGGTACAATGATTATCATCACCTATGATTATATCATTATGTTTTCAGCAATCTGAACCTGTGTTTGAAACCAGTGATGAGCTTTGTTTCAAAAAAAGCAACCATATTGACTATATACGATGTTTTTATCATGTGTAAATGACAATTCTGCACAATACTGATGCATGGTATGGTTTCTTACAGAGCTAATACCTGACTCACCAGGTCGATACATCAATAATTAGCTAAAACAATATATATATAATATGTAGATATAGATAAAACATATAAAACATATATGAACCATGCGTTTTTTTGTTTAAAAAAAACATGATTTAAATTTAAATCATGTTAAAACCACATAAATGTGTATATATATATACACCCTATGGATCCAAATATTTTCCGAGAAGGTACGGCTGAACCCCCTAGTCATCACACCCCAGTCATACTTCCTGAAGAGGTGCGGCTGGATCCAAAGGAACTTAAACCTTGTGAACCAGATATCCCATTGGTTTATTATTCAAGTTAAAACAGATAAAAGAAACACTAATGATATGGTTAAATCCACATATTAATAATAATAATAATATTAATAATAATAATAATAGTAATAATAATAATCATGATAACACTAATAATAATGATAATAATAGTGATAATAATAATATAATTTTACATATATATCTATATATCATACATACATACACACATATTTAGTTGTTTCTTCAACCACGTGATGGCCATGTTTTTCGTTTTTGAGGTCCAACCCTTCGAGAAAGACGGGCGTCCGGGTGAGCCGTTTCTGGGCCGCAGCTATGCCATTTGGGGATGGGTCAAAACCAATAGTACCCCTGGTGAACCTCAAAATAGCTGGGATTTATGGATGTTCATCCCACTAAAAATGGTATCTATAGGTATTGATCCATAGCCATTTCATAAAAATATGGGATGTCATGCTATCCTTCCCATTGACTTTCACTCCATGATTTTTCAGGATGGTTAAGTCACCAACCAGATGGTGAATTGGATCATCTGCACGATATTGAACACCTTGACAGGATTCTTCACCAGAAGTTTTTTTTGCCACAGTTGATCTTAGTTTTGTTTCCATTTTTGTTTAACAAATCAAAGACGATGAAAATGGCAACGTTGTTGAGTTTTACCATGATTTAACCAGCAACCGAGGTTTAACTAACAAGAATGGTGATCGAGCAAACTTTAACTATCACTGATGGGGATCTATCTCAGAATAGTCAGGTTTGCTTCAATTCATTAGATGTACATGATAGCAACAAAGTGGGAATATGTTGACTGAACTTCTTTCTGTTGGGAGCAGCCTTGAGAATGGCAACCATGGGGGATGGTCGTTAATTTGGAGATGACTTGCGATCCACAATCATTACGCACACTGACGACAATGTGATTGTGGGCCGACAGTAGCATTTACAATAGTAATTGTGCTGGCTGCATTGATATTCTGCCACTTTTAATTACGGTGATTCAGAAATGGTAAAGGATATCAACTTCTCGGAACTTTAACATTGGATACACCATTGGTTACACCTATAGAAATCCTCTGCACTGAGGTCATTAAACATACCCTCTGGTAAACTAACATAGCTATGGAAAATCACCATGTTCAATGGGAAAATCCACTATAAATAGCCATTTTCAATAGCTATTTTGACATAACCAGAGGGTAGATTCACAGAACATCCCAATAGAATCCACAGCTTTGCCCAATGGTGTTCCATGTCTCAAAATGATCTGTCTCAAAATGGGTGAATCGAGCATGTTACGGGAGGTGGTGTTTTTTCAGTTTCAAGGATGGCGTTATAGAAAAGTTAATTGTGTATAGATAGATCATGAGATTACCAGAATAATGGGATTTTATAGTGGTTTAATGGGATTTATAGTGATTCAATGGGATATTAATGGGATATACCCTCTGGTTATGACTAACGTAGCTATTGAAAATGGCCATAGAAATAGTGTATTTTCCCATTAATAGCATGGTGGATCTTTCAATAGCTATGTAACAAATTACCAGAGGGTAGATAGATCATGATCTACCATAAACTCTAGGTAAGCTAGTTGTAACCCAACTTAGCTATCTAGGAGGTTTGTACTTTCTTGATCTTTCTTGGGTAACACCAACCTGCAACGTTTTTTTTGGGTTCCCAGGTGCATTGTCAAATTGGACCGAGCGGACGCCATTAAGGAGGAGAACTGGCTGTTGCTGAGTTCCATACTCCATATTATGGTTGGTGGTTTGGAATAATCCCAACTGACTAATATTTTTCAGAGGGGTTGAAACCACCAACCAGATATCAATCCCTAGAATTGTTTGAACCAGATTTTGGGAACTGTGCAGCTGGTCATTGAGTACTGAACATGAGATGGGTGATGCTTTTCATGACTCCTTCACCCCTGTTAAAGGCCTGGTTGGATGTTAGAACTATTGTTTTTTTGTTCAGGGGGATGAGATCACACAAGATTACAGATGTGATTTTGATGTGTGCCCTTTGTGTATATTATATATAATATGTATATATTCATCCTCGCTTTCGGCATCCATTGCTCAGAATCTCTCTTTAGTTCAGTCAGGAACGATCCTTGCGATGATCATTCGCAAGTCCCGCGAATCATCCATCCGCAGCTGATCTCCCAATGATTGTCACTCCGATGATGGATCTGGATCCATTGGTAAGTGGATCTTCGCAATTCCATATATAAACCATAAACCCACCATAGACCATATATAGATTTATGGATATTCCTCTTTATGGTGGACTTATGATGATTTTTGAGATGTTCAATTAGAGATGTGGATGAGCAAGATCGGTTCCAAACAAGGGTTGCAGACTCTGCTACTCTTGCATTTTTCTTCTTCAAAAACAAGTGGTTTCATCAGTTTTCATCCATTCAAATCATTCAGCGGAATTGCATGTGATTCATTGAACTCTGATTCTCGCATGTTTTTTCTTTCTCTTCCTTCCTCGTGCAATCTACATTGTTTTTTTCCGACATCAGTTTCTCAAAGCCGTGATTTCTCTCATTTTCAGTGGGGCAAAGATAGGTCTACTGTTTGGTATTGACTGAGTTTGCAAGCTGGACAGCTACCATAAGTACATCATCGAACTAAATGCTTCAATGTTCCATACGCAACTATTTAATTTCCGGATGGTAAATCCCCAATATTCCATTCATATGCCATGAATATTCCATGAATATTCCATGAATATTCCTAATCCCCATGTACCTTCCACACAAAGAAGCATCTTTTGATGATTACATCCCCCTCGGTGATAGTTTCATTTGAAATCCCAGAAAGTATTTCATAGTATTTCCAGATTCCATTTCCATATATTTACATCATTTCCCATAAAAACCCATCGCTTCATGAAACATCCCAGTCCTGGTGCCGCGTCTCCTCATCTGTTCCGTGGTGTTAACGGGCCAGGAACATGTGAACTCCATCCAAGTCTTCGAGGCGAGATGGACCACGGTCGTGACAGTTGACGTAGTTCCAGTTTTGTTCTGGGGACCACGGATGGCTTAGTCACTATAGTGGTCAATAGTGATGGTTAATAGTGGTTAATAGGCTATAAACCAACAACAATGGGAATATGATGATATATGTCTGGTTGGTGGTGACTGGAACCATGGAATTTTCCTGGTGAATCTATGGTTGATAATGGTTAATTGGAATAACACTATATCTGGTTGGTGGTTTGGCACATTTTTTATTTGCATATATAGGGAATAGTAACCCCAACTGACGAACTCAATCATTTTTCAGAGGGGTAGGTATACCACCAACCAGATTAATA